GTTGTTGCTGGGACGCTCCTGTTCTTTGGGAGGCAGGCCCTGCGCAGGGCTATTTTGTAGTTTTTGTGTTCAGTCTAAGCTTCCTAGACTGTCCATGCTTTACTCCCTTTTCTATCTATTAAAGATCGGCCAATGGCCCTTCGAGCAATATGAGCACATGTAACGTAACTACAGACCTCCGCTCTTTTATCATTTATGGGTGGGCGCTAGCTTAACACTAATGTGCACTCTTTTGTGCCCTCTAGCTTTACCCTGTTCGTGATGGGTGCATGTGCTTCTTCAGAAGAAGTTGGGATAATCACAGCAGGGGACAGCAGGGGTTCACACATCACACATTTCACACTTTCCTCTATGGTTCTGTTAACACGGGATAATAATCAACCAAGGTTGCGGACCGGGTTTGTCCGTGGAGAGGTAGATTTATGTCTTCAGGGGCTAGACTAATCTTAACTAACTCCAGCCTGTCATTCCTACCTATGTTCGCCATGGATTTGTTCTTGCTGGCTGATGGGGTGCACTCTAAAATGGACACCCGCGGGCCGTTTTTTTTGGGAAGGAGCGGGACCAAAACGGAAGTACCATATGGTTAAATGGCAGGCCGTTTGTAGACCTAAAGCCCAGGGGGGCCTCGGGATCATCAACTCTAAGCTGATGAACATTGCACTCATGTGCAAGTGGATCTGGAAGCTGTCTCAGGGAGAGACGGGCCTCTGGGTCGACCTCCTCCGTGCGAAATACTTCCCAAACGGAAATTTCTTCGAGGCGGTATCTCTTGGGCCCCCTTTCTGGAACTCAATCCAAGCCCTCAAACCTTTCTTCGACAGGGGCGCGAGGTTTGCGGTTAACAACGGGCGCTCCACGCGCTTTTGGCATGACCTTTGGATAGGCCATCAGCCCCTCTGGTCGGAGTTCCGCCAACTTTACTCCATCGCAGTCGAGCCCAACCAACTGGTTGCTTCGGCTCTAAGCTCCTCCCCGCCCTCTATCAACTTCAGAAGGGAACTCTCGGGGACGGAGCTGCTGGAGTGGGATCGCCTTCGGGCTTTGATAGTGGGTGTCCGCCTGTCGAACACCGCAGACTCTGTCTCTTGGAGACTTACGGGCTCTGGCAAATTCACTGTCAACTCCCTCTATAGAGAGCTTACCCGTGGTCATGCCCCTACGGCTGCCACGGGGCTTTGGAAGGCCAAAATTCCTCTCAAGATCAAGGTTTTCCTCTGGCAACTATGCCAAGATCGCCTTCCTACCTCTATCAATCTAGCTAAGCGCAATGGCCCTGCCTCCGGTCCCTGTGCTTTGTGTGGGGCACCGGAAGATGCTGACCACGTTTTCTTCCGGTGCTCTTTGGCGCGCTTTGCCTGGAGCGCGGTTCGTGAGGCCGCGGGTGTGGATTGGGATCCACGCTCCCGCTCCGCGCTAGTGTCATCTTTGTCCTCAGTCCAAGGCCCTGCTCGTCGGGTCATGTGGACATGTGCGGCGGCCATGTTATGGGCTATATGGCATATTCGTAATAAGTTTACTATTGAGGGCGTGTTTCCCTCACACCCCGCTGACGTAATCTTCAAATGCATCGTGTTCTTGCAGCAATGGGCACCGCTGGGAAGACAACAGGACTCTGATCTCCATCGCCAAGCTCTCATTCGTCTTCGCTCCGTCTACTCGGCGTCCCGAGCCCCGTCGTCCGCGTCTACTGCCTCATAGGGATGGACAGCCCCTTTTGGTCGAGTTTCCGCCGAGCCTGCGTGCTCGTTTCGCTAGGCCGGTAGCGCCTTGTAATGCACTTTATTTCTCCTCCGGTTGCTGTTCCAAAACCCTGCAAAACTAGTTTGTGGTTCCGTGTGATGGTCGTTTGGTTAAGTACGCTGCCTATGTTGTGGGCTTTATTAATTTAAAGCCGGACGTCCCTGACGTCTATGTTCTAAAAATAATAATCAACCAAGCAAGCAACATGAGGATTTGTAAAGAAAAAATAACTGCATACCTCTCCTTTATACTCAAGTCACGTTTTGGTATTAAATACATCTGTATTTAGACAAATGTAAGACAAGAATTTGGGACGGAGGGAGTATCAGTTAAAGAACACTTGGCACTAATCTGCACTCTGTTTGTTATGCCTCTCAAACCTGATTGGCGCAGCTGCTGGCATGGCCACGAAGGAGGATTATAGCTGGATCGAGCCGAGTCTTTCTAGCACAACCACGTGTTGAAAGCGATGTGTTCGGCTCCGGGGGTCGGCTCTGCTTCGGCTTCGGTTTTCGCTTTTGTGTAGAGTGACGAAGATGATGAAGCTTTCTCCGTGTCCATCGTTTACTATTATTCCACTTGTGTGCGTGCTAGTGCTTGACTCTCGCGTATCCTGGTAGGTGTTTCCTTACCAAGCTACTTGGAGAACTCTGATTTCACCCCGCTGCCAAAAATCCTTATTTACACATCACATGGAGTCAGCAGAAGTCTTAGAAACAGCCACGTCGAGAAAACGATGCGTGGGTCCCGTCCCGGTTCCTAGTTCTGTGACAGAGACTAGAGGAGTGGACGGTTCAAACATGCTAATTCTTTGATCATCATCGGTTCTCGGTTCTCAGTTTTCGGGTTTGTGAAGCCTCTGACCCTGGCATTTGCCTGGGTGCCCACTGGCTACGGCCAACGCGTCTCCTGTCGGGGCGGTTTTCCACGCAACTTAGCATCCGGCAACTTATAAAACAAAGATGCGTTCCTTCTTCTAGCTGCACCGATCTCCAAGCTCAGAGCTTCAAGCCAAACCCCGTTTCCAGAGAAGCAGTCGATGGAGCTCCTCACCTTCCTTTTCAGAATGGTGGCCCTGATCCCCGACGCATTACGCAACGCGGAGAAGCTGCCCGGTGCTCTCATCTCGTGCGGCGTCGTCCAAGCCGTGGCGGCGCTCTTCCTCATCATCTCCGGGACACCACCGGGAGGTTTGTTTCTTCACCATGGCAGGGCGCCCTTCTATTTGTACTTCGGCATCCTCATTGCCATAGTGATTTTCGGGCTTGTGGAGGCGTCCGCTGGATTTTATGTGTCCGGCGATGTGGCCGGACGCCGTGCTGCCGGGAAGACCATTCTGTGGGTGTCCATCTTGCCCATCGTCGTCGTCGCTGCGCTCGCCGGCTTCCTGGTTCTCAACTGAGACACTCCTCCGCCCTCTGTTTGATCGACGTAGCGCCCGTTCATGTTGTACTGTACAATCGATGGAAGTGTGTTATAGAATAGCGAGTGTGTACTGTGGGGACAGGAGGATCAGTATGCTGTACCGGCACGAGTGTTTTAGATTTCATATACTTCCATTTCATTCTTTTTCCATTTGACGCTTGTAATCTAATATGTGTAAATTATTGAAGGATTTTGTACTACTGAATCTTTGGGTTGTGCTGTAGCTTTCGATCGACAAGTATGCCATCTGCTTGGTTGTTTGCACTTGTACTGCTTCGCTTCCCCTATTTTTCTTAGGTCAGCTTCTCATCCCTCCTTGTTGGAAAGCAGAGCAAGGAGAGAAGTGTGCTTCCGGTGGTCTATTTGGGCCGTATTCTCGAGCGTAAAGCTCGGCCTACTAAGAAGTGTCGAAAAAGTGGTGGGGGCGGCCAAACTCACTGCAGCTCAATAGACCTTTTGCTCCGGCCCAATACATGCACCATTTTAAGCGTTTTCCAGTGAAAGCGAAGTGTTTTTTCCCAGCCTTTCATTTCTTCAGCAAGTGCGTTGTGTGTTGTGGCTGGTGTTCTTCCCCGCTCGTCTCGTCTGCTCCCCTCTCCACACGCTTAATTCCCCTTCCTTCATTGACTCGAGCTCGAGACCTGCTTCTGCCGGATCTGACGATGGAGCCGGCGGGAGACTCTTCCGTGGAGGCCGCGATTGCATGGCTGGTGCAGACCATCCTTGCAACGCTCCTCATGGACAAGATGGAGGAGTGGATTCGGCAAGTCGGGCTTGCCGACGACGTCGAGAGGCTCCAGTCTGAGGTCGAGAGAGTCGACACGGTGGTGGCTGCTGTGAAGGGGAGGGCAGCCGGGAACAGGCCTCTGTCCCGGGCTCTCGCTCGTGTCAAGGAGCTTCTCTACGACGCCGACGACTTGATCGACGAGCTAGACTACTACAGGCTCCAACAACAAGTCGAAGGAGGTAGTAAGCATAATCCCATTATATATCGAATATATGTAAGCTCAAGATATTTATTTTGGGATGGAGGGAGTAGTTTGATCTTAATTTCTGGTCCATATTTTTTTCGGCACAGTTACGAGTGACGACCCTGACGGTATGCGTGGAGCTGAAAGAGTGGATGAAATATCAAGGGGCCATGTCGATACACTGAATTGCAGTGTTGGCAAATTACGATCCCCGGTATGGGAACACTTCACGATCACAGAAACAACTATCGACGGGAAGCGTTCAAAAGCCAAATGTAACTACTGTGGAAATGATTTTAATTGCGAAACGAAGACAAACGGGACTTCATCTATGAAAAAACATTTGGAGAAAGAGCATTCCGTGACTTGTACGAAGAAACCTGGAGCCCATCCACCAAACCCTTCAAGGTACCCAAAGGAAATTATATGTTGCATCAGCGCATTTATATTCGTTTATATATATCTGCTTGAGAGCCCATTGTTGTTCTACATTTCTTCTGATAACTGACCCACCATTTTCTCTCTTAATGCAGCACCGGCTATGCAACTGAAAATGTGACGCTTGTTGAAGTTGGTAGTTCATCCAACAGAAAAAGAAAGAGAACGAATAAGGAGCCAGCACAAACCACCGCAGATAACACCCGTTGGGACAAGGCTGAGTTATCCGATACAATAAAAAAGATTACTAGCCAGTTACAGTTACAGTTACAGGGTATCCTATGGGCTTTCAGTAAAGTTCTCGAGCCACATGGGTCTAGCTCTGCGTCGAGTTCAAATCATCACCAACCGAGTACAACCTCAGATCAGCACGCAAAAACATCAAGTCTTGCTCCAAGGAAAGTGTATGGCAGAGTAGCAGAAATGAACTCCATCAGAAATTTAATAGCAGAAAAGAAATGTGATGCTCTAACTGTTCTGCCTATTGTGGGCATTGCTGGTGTTGGAAAGACAACTCTCGCTCAATCTGTATACAATGATCCAGATATAAAAAGTCAATTTCACCACAAGATATGGGTTTGCGTGTCCCGCAAATTTGATGAAGTGATGCTCACAAGGGAGATGTTAGACTTTGAAAGACACGAGGGATCTCCTCATGAAAATGGAAGGCATGAAGGAATTAGTAGCCTTGCTAAGCTTCAGGAGATCTTGAAGGACATTATCGAGTACCAGTCAAAGAGTTTTCTGCTTATTTTAGATGATGTATGGGACAGTATGGATGATCATCAATGGAGAAAACTGGTGTGTCCTTTTGTATCAAGTCAAGCAAAGGGTAATTTAATTCTAGTCACAACCAGAAATTTGTCAGTTGCACACATGTTAGGAACACGTGAGCCGATAAAGTTGGGTGCTTTGGAAAATGATGTTATGTGGTTGCTGCTCAAGTCATGTGCATTTCGTGATGTGAATTATGAAGGGAACCAAAGTCTAAGCATTGTCGGGAGGCAAATATCAGAGAAGTTAAAGGGAAACCCACTAGCAGCAGAAACAGCGGGGGCACTATTAAGGAAGAAATTTAGCATTGATTATTGGAAAATCATTTTAAAGAATGAAGACTGGAAATCCATGGAGCTCGGTAATGGAATCATGGCTGCTCTAAAGCTTAGCTATGATCAACTTCCCTACCATTTACAACAATGTTTCTCATATTGCTCCATATTCCCCGACGGTTATCAGTTTCTTGGTGAGGAGTTGGTCGGTTTCTGGATGTCACAGGGATTTGTAAAGTGCAACAACTCTAGTCAGAGATTGGAGCAGATAGGACAGTGCTATCTGATTGATTTGGTTAACCTAGGCTTCTTTGAAGAAGTTAAAAGAGAAGAACCATATCTGGGCTGTCAAGTTATGTATGGCATATGTGGTCTCATGCATGATTTTGTGATTATGGTGTCAAGGACTGACTGTGCAAGTATAGATGGTCTGCAACGCAACAAAATGCCTCGACCTCTACGACATTTGTCAATAGTAACTGGATCCGCGTACAAGAAAAATCAGCACGGAAACATTCCTCGTAATAATAAGTTTGAAGAAAATCTGAGAAATACAATTACATCAGTTAGCGAATTGAGGACATTAGTGTTACTTGGGCATTATGACTTTTCCTTCTTACTATTATTCCAAGATATATTTCAAAAGGCACATAACTTACGTGTGCTGCAAATGTCTGCAGCACGTGCTGATTTTCTCAAACATGGGTTTGAGGAGGTGGATGGGTCTTTCCCTCAAACTTTGAGCAAATTGTACCATCTCCAAGTATTAGACGTCGGTTCATACACTGATCGTACTATGCCTGGTAGTATTGATAATCTTGTTAGCCTGCGGCATCTTGTTGTACACAAGGGAGTGTACTCTTCCATTGCAACCATTGATAATATGCTATCATTTCAGGAACAACATGGTTTCAAGTTTCATATTTCTAGTGGCTTTGAGATAACACGACTCCAACCCACTGAACATTGGATGCATGTTAATACTCTGGAAGATGTTTATGAGGCAGGATTGGTAAACAATGAACTCTCAGAAAAGTTGCACTTGTCCTGGACAGATTGTCCTACGGACATAGTCATGGAGGTTGAGGGTTGGGAACCACATTGGGACTTAACGGTTCTCGAGGTATCTGGGTATAATTTTGCTTTGCCAATTGTGGCTGACAACATTATCTTGGATACCTCTTCCCAGATGGTTCAGATATTCAATTGTAGTAAATGGAAAATACTTCCATTTTTGCAAAGGTTTCAGTTTTTGACAACGCTGGAGTTGAGAAAGCTGCCGAAAGTAATAGAAATAATGGTTCCTTCACTGGAGGAGCTAGCTAGTGTGGTTTTCTGTAGCTCAGGCTACACGGTACCCCTTATCTTTGCCATCCATTTATGCATCAAGATCCGTGCAGACATATTTGTCTTTTTTGTTTCTCTCAAACGACACAACATATGAACTTTAACTTTTGCAGAACAACAATACATTCTAACTACAATCTAGGAAAAAAAAATTCAGATTTTTTCATGCATTTTAAATACTTGAAATAATATTTTTATTCAAAAAAAAATCTCATTTTGTATATTTATATCAGACCAAAAAATCTGAATGTTTTTTCACACATTGATGTTCTAATGTTTGTTCGATCTGCAAAGTTTGAAGTTCATATGTTGTTTTGTTTTCGAGAAACAAAAAAGAGAAATCTTCTTGTTGTTAGTTAGTTGGAGAGTACGGATCTCAAAGCAAGGTTGAAGGGTTGAGGATAAGAGGTTCCATGTAGCCTGAGCTACAAAGAAACTTTGTGTTAGTTAAAATGCCAAAGTTGGAGAAATGTTCATGCACTTCCGTGGAAGGTATGAGCTCTAGACTAAGAGCACTGCAGATCGAGGATTGTCAATCACTGAAGGAGTTTGATCTATTTGAGAACAACGATAAATTCGAAACCGGGCAGAGGTCATGGGCTCCTAGTCTTAGGGAACTAAGTCTGGAGAATTGCCCCCATTTGAAAGTGTTGAAGCCTCTTCCACGCTCACTCATGTGTTCTGAGTTACTCATAAGTGGAGTTTCAACACTTCCGTACATGAAGGGGTCATCCGATAGAAAGTTATGTATTGGGTATGATGATAAGTATGACTACTATGGTTTTGACGAATCTTCCGATGAGTTGAAGATACTGGATGACAAAATTTTTATGTTCCATAATCTGAAAAACCTCAAATCGATGGTGATATATGGTTGCCGGAATCTAAGTTCCATTTCATTAAAAGGTTTTAGTTACCTCATCTCTTTAACGAGCTTGGAAATAAGAGATTGTGAAAAACTTTTTTGCTTCAGATGAGATGCCAGAGCATACCCTTGAAGACGTGACACCTGCGAATTGCAAGGCTTTCCCATCTCTTGAATGTCTCAGTATTGAATCATGTGGCATAGTGGGGAAGTGGCTATCTCTGATGCTGCAACATGCGCCATGCCTAGAGGAATTGTATTTGTCTTCCGAAGAGGAAGAAAATTCAGAAGAGGAAGAAAACCCAGAGGAGGAAGATAACAGTGTATCAAATCACAGCTCAACCAGGGAGGACACATCATCAGGAAATTCAGATGACGGGTTAGCTCGAGACGGACCCTCGCACATTCCACTCAATCTCATCTCCCCTCTAAAGAGGATAACTATTAAGAGGTGCCCTCATCTAACATTTAACTGGGGCAAGGAAGGCGTCTCGGGATTTACCTCCCTTGAGAAACTTATCATTTTGGGCCTCCCTGACATGCTCTCGTCGTTGGTGCATACAAACGGAAGATGGCTCCTCGCGAACTCACTTGGCAAACTTAAAATCAATGGCCATTCCAAAAATACGCTGCAACCCTGCTTTCCTAGCGATATCACCAGCCTTACAAAGTTGACTGTACGTTACAGCCCAGGTTTGCAATCTCTACAGCTGCACTCATGCACGGCACTGCAAGAATTGGAGATTACAGGCTGTGGATCGGTCACCGTCACTGAACTAGAGGGCATGCAACCCCTTGGCAGCCTCGGGCGTTTGAATGTATCAGACTGTCCTGGCTTGCCACCATGTTTGGAGAGCTTTTCAACGCTGTGCCCTTGGCTGGAAAGGCTTCACATCGATGATCCATCTGTCCTTACCACGTCATTCTGCAAGCACCTCACATCGATGATCCATCTGTCCTTACAACTTGATTTCTTGACAGTGACTAGACTAACAGATGAGCAAGAGCAAGCGCTTGTGCTGCTCAAATCCCTGCAAAAGCTCGAATTCATTTGGTGTTCTGCTCTAGTAGATCTTCCTGAGGGGCTGCACACCCTTCCTTCCCTCAAGAGATTGGAGATAAACCAGTGTGGACGCATCACAAGGCTGCCAGAAGCAGGCCTCCCACATTCGCTGGAAGAACTGGAAATCCGGTCTTGCAGCCAGGAGCTAGATGATGAATGCAGGCGGCTAGCAACAAGCAAACTGAAAGTCAAGATTGATTGGACGTATGTGAATTAATTACTGTATGGCTTGTTATGGACATGTTTCTGCATGCACAACTCTGTACCGCTTGGTTGCTCTTGAGTCATATATCATGTTATATTCAGAGTTGGCTGTGTGCATAGCTTTGGTCTTATATGACTTTGCTATTTTCCGGTGGTATTTTGTGTGTGTGCGTTAGTGTTGGCTGTGTGCATCCTAGCTATGTAGAGGCCGGGTGTGTGCTCACTATGTTTGTATTATCTTGATGCTTCATTTTGAGTAATAAAATCCACCCTTTGTCGAAAAATGTTATATTCAGAGTTGACATACCCTCATAATTGTGCAGCGCGTTCATACTAAAATGAGCGTCTGGGTAGGCATTCAGGCTGCTCGACATATAGCATGTAATCGATAAACTGGTATGTTTTGTTGTTTGGTCTTGTGAACTGAAAATGATGAATTTCCGATTCTTGTTTTCTTCCGGGAGAATTTCAACCTTTGCCAGAGATAATTGCAACAGATAGATCCAAAGATGCATCCTATTATTCCCCACACAATTCGGTTTATCCGAAATTCGTTGCTACACGGACATATCATTTTAAGTTAATAAAAGCGCCCTTTATCGGAACAAACATACCACACACATATGCTTAGTGTGGTGAACAGAGCAGACAAACATGTCACAGACCTGCACTTTCAGAGTTCAGGATGGAATTGACAGCAGACACCTAATGTGTGCTTAAATTTGAATACGCGACCTGTAGTTCCGGTGCTGATTACAAGTTCCATTCCTTTGTGATACAAATGAAGCTACTTCTCGTGTGTGTACTTTAGTACTATCCTATCTTGGTAAGAAGCTAAAACAGAGGACATGTTACACTGAGCATGTATAGAATCATTAGACAAGAACAAGCATCAATTCCTCATTTGAATTTATGGGGGGCAAAACTGATCACCGCATCTCAAGCGAGCATCATAGCTGTATCCATCCTTTCGATCTTGTAAGCACCTTGATGAACATTGGCAATACCTGAAAATTAGTTGCACTGGCAAACACAAGCAAAGAACTCACAATTGTTTTAAATGTAAAAAAAAAGATGGAAATTTGCACCAGCACACCAAACACGTTTTACTGGCACTCAAGTTATAGGTTAGGAAAAGCTTACAGCAACAGGAAGGTCTCCTACCTAGTAATACCATGCAAGTTAAAAATAATACAGACACTTACTGCATTAAGGGTATAATTTTAGAAAAAGGGAGCAGCATCACTGCGACAAAGAGGGTCCCAATCAACTAAGGTTTGAATGTCTACTGAATTTTTTATCATTCATATACCTCCCTCCGAGAATGATTAAATCTAAGCCAACATGCACATCCCAGAAATAAGTACTCGCATCCTCCACCTAATCAAATTCTACTATTAGAACAACCACCTCTACACCAGAGAAGGAGCATTGCCAGCTTCCGAGGTGCTTCCCCTGAGCTCTCTGAGCCTGAACCTGTAAATAGAGTCAAATGGGAAACATTGCAGGAAGTTTAATTCATGAAGAATAAACGATGTTTGACAAAAAGGGAAAGAATAAACAGTGAGTTGGACAGTAGTACCACTGGATGATGAAGAATCACTGCCTGGACCCGAACCAGCAGAGACACAGCCTCAGTGCCCTTCTCCGTCTCCACTGATTGGCATCTCATTGTCAGTATCTACAGTACATACTAACATACTCATCCACCTTCTCCGCCGCTAATACATCCGTCCCGCTCTCCTGTAAATTACTAAACAGTAAAACTGAGCCACCTACGGCTTCCCACGGTAATTTGAGCTCGACAGCCGTCAGTTCACGTTTATGAACGGTCTAGATCTGATGGTGTATCAAAACAAAACAGAACAACATAAGAGTCCAATTTGCATATGCACTAACTGAAAAAGGGAACAACACTTGTTGTTTCCTACGGCCATTTACTACATCAGCATTGTCAACGAATGTAGACACAGCACCATTCGCAGCCTCAGCGCGGTAGCACCGTCGTAGACCTTGGCAATGTCCTTCTGCAGTACGGATCTGGCCGCAGCTCTTCCTCGTAGGTGCCCGGAACTTCGCCGGTGGCGGGGGCAGGTCCTCCTTCGGCTGGCCCTGCTGATGCTCCTGATGCCACGAATCGACGCGGGAGAGGAGGGCGCATAACTGGCCGATCTCGGTCCCTGGAGCGCACTGGAACCGCGGTGGGCCAGCCCCGCCGGCCGGAAGACCAGGCATCCGGCCGGCGGCGAGACCAGACAGGAGCTTTCGCAGTTTTTTTGTTTTTTTTTCAGGGAAAGGAGCTTTTCCTCGGATGTAACAGAAAAGGGTCGGAGAGGGCGTGACTTGCAGATATGTTTGGGCCTAAAGCCCCATCGTCGTGACATAGCCCATGCCATAGCCCAACGGTGAGGCCAACTCCACCGCGCGACCCCAAACGGACATCCGTTTTGTCCGGATTCTGTCCGTTTGGGTAGGGATTTGGGTCGTGTCCGGGCCTGTCCTGGGATGCGGTGGCCGTGCGGCCAGCGCGCGGCCGCATCCATTTGCCCCATCCTGTCCGCGTATATTTCTTTGCAAGTCCTTAAACTTTTTTTATCATTCATTTTCGGTACATGACAATACATCATCACATTTTGACTAGTAAAACAAGGCCAAAAAAAAACAAGAACCACAAAAATACATTTGAGAAGATACCCAACTCCATAACTGCTCCCTTGAGTTGGGTTAGCGCCTTCTCGATGCATTCATTGTTGATCTGTGGAGGAGGCACGACGTTGCCCCCTCCTTTCTTCTTCAAGACAGAAGTCGACGTTGCTTCCTCACACGTAGTATCGTGCCTTGTTGCTTTTTCGCACGTAGTATCGTGCCTAGACTCTAATCTAGCAACAAGTGCACTTGTCTCATGTAAAGCCTCTAGGCTAGCTAAAAGTGCACGAACATGCACTACATTTCGCTCTATCAACATATCGATGTACTCTTCTTCCCAATACCAAAACTTGCATCCGGTCTACACAATAAAACTTAAAGTTAGCACCACTAGTCTAATCCGAGAGCACAAACATGCACCGAAGCTAAAAGAGCACATACCCCATCATTTAAGCACTTGATGAACACCCATCCGGGATGCTCCGGCGTTGTAGACACGCGGCGCACGACCACCCTTGGGCAGTGGTCGCACTTGATGAGGGGCAACGGTGCGCCGACGAGCTTTTGGGCAAGCTCCGAGCCCGGCCGGCCGCCATTCGCGTATCTGCCGGCGGACCACCGACGGTGCAGATCCGAGCGGCTAGAGGACGAGCCACTGCCTGCATGTGGCCTTGCGGCTCTGCCAGGGCCTTCCGGCAAGGTGTCCGGCCAGTCCATGGCGCGGCCCGGCCTCCCACAGCCGGGCGAGCTCAAGACCGACCGCATCCGCCCCAAATCCGGCCGGCGGGTGCGCAAACAAGGTGGCTGTGCTTGGGTAGCTCGGCGGCGACGAGAGGAAGGGGCTGGGCAAGCGCGTGTCCGAGGTGCACGGCGGCAATGGCAGCGGGCGCCCGGCGGCGGCGAGGGAGAGAGAGGGGAAGAGTGTGGAAGAGTGGAGTGGATGCGGCCGGAGGGAGGAGGGGGGGGGGCGGATAGAAAAAGGCCCGTCATGTGCCACCGACGAGCGGGCCAGGGGAGGACACGCGCAGACGACCCGCGCGTCCGCGTGGTGTCCGTTTCGCCCCAAAAGCGGCGCAAACTTGGGCCGCGGATGGGTCGAAAGCGGACACAAAACGGACAAAAGTCCGTTTGCGCCCGCGCGCTGGGCCGCCTCCTTTGTCCCTTTTACCCCAAACAGACCGGGGCGGACAGGATAGGGTCGCGCGGTGGAGTTGGCCTGACACGCTCTGAACTTTCTCTCTTGCTTTTTCACCTCAATTTTTTTTTGCTTTTACACCTTTTTTTTTTTTTTTGCTTTTGGCTAAAAAACAAAAACAAATTGCTCTGACGTTTCTCTGAAAAGAAACTTTCAGGATGTGCAGCCCACGAGCGCAACATATATGTACGTGTTACAGATTGGTCCGCATCTTCAGCGCGACCACGCTGGGAAACCATACACTCATGTGTTCGGGCATGGTCTTCGGTTTCGCGACATTGGGTGACGATGACGGTCATGCACAGCCTGACAGACTCAAAGCGTGACAACACCACTAATATAAGCTAAAAATCTACTGACCCTTCTATTTCTGCGTAATTTATTGCACTAGCGCAATAGCGCGTGCGACTATGCTTTTGTGCGTGACGACGCTGTTGACTGTCGCAGCTGAGGTCGCGCGCTTTTCGCCAATCAATTGGTGAAGTTTAGAAACATTTGAAAAAAATACTGTTTGAAGTTGATTTTGTCTTTTTTGCCATTAGCTCCTCGAATGTCCAAACACCATGAAATTTTGCACAGACATCATCCATTTGAGCATCTTGGATGACAAAAAAAATGACTTTTTAAAATTATTCTGTTTTTTTACTGTTTACCAGGTGCAAATGAGTCCAGGCACCGTTTGAATTATTGTGAAAGAGATATTCAGGTAGTCGAAATCAGCCGTGATGCTAACAAGGCAAGTCACGAGCTGGCTACACTAGGTAGAGTACAAGGCAGAACTGTCGTTTGGCTTAGAAACTACCCTCCAGAAATCGCTGAGGCGATTTGTGCTGATTGTACTCATACCGCAGTTTAATTTAATCTCTTTTTCCCGCAAAAAAAAGAATTATTGTGAAACTTAATCTTATTTTTCAGTGAACAATTGCAATTTAATCTACAAGCCACTACATATACAACCGTGGACGCTCTCTTCTTATTGCCCGACATTTCTTTGATGGGAAAAATATATTCATCGTCATGCTCTTGGGATGTGCATATGTATTCATTTATTCATTTTTTGGAATACATCTCTTAGTTTATCATGTTACATGATGCTTGATATAGGGAAAACGTTATGTGGCGAACGTCAGCAGGGAGCGTTTTCCCGGCAAACACCCCAAACTTGTCATACC